ACCAGGGGCGAAGAGGACACGCATGTACTCGTCGAGTCACACGAGTGCACTTGACGAGTCCGGTCAATGTTGACCGTTGACTTTTGTTGACTTTTAGGGTTTAGTCAGTGTTTGGACTTATGAGCCATTAGAGGGGTGGAATGGTCTTTTACCCTTCTTAGAGAACTTATAGAGAGGGGTTAGCCTAGCCCTTAGAAGTTGTATTAATTAGAGTAATTATTTATGTGATTAGGCGGAGGCTAGTGCAATATTTCAGAGTTCGAGGTTTACCGAGTTACCCGAGGTGAGTCTTCTCACTATACTTTACCTTGAGTGGCAAGTAGAGTTATGTGACAGAGTATCTTGTATGCTATGTATGTGATGTGTTGCACTGCATTATTTCTATGTGATTTATGCTGTGTGTATTCCAGAGTTTACAGAGTTAGGACCGGAAGGTCCACAGAGTTAGGACCAGAGGGTCCACAGAGTTAGGGCCAGTGGGCCCACAGAGTTATAGCCTCGAGTGGCTAATATGTGTTATATGTGGTATTTTGGGGAACTCACTAAGCATTTATGCTTACAGTGTTGTGTTATGTGTTTCAGATACCAGTGAGGATCGCGGGAAGGCGCCGGCATGATCAGTACAAACACGAGGAGTTTTTATACATTATGACCTTGGGATGTGTTTCTATGGATTGATATGTGATACAATAAGATTTTTATAATATCTATTAATGAAAGTATGCTTTTAAAAAATGTGAAAAATTGTTTGAAAAATTACGGTGTTACAGAATGGGGGTGGAGAACCATTCACTATGACTAGATTCATCGGGTAACTAACCTAGTGCTACTTTTTATAACTTAATCGGACAAGAAGACAATTAGATAATATTACTAGCCGACCTCTGTCTGCACCCCTAACCCCCTCGAGGGGGAACACTTCCCTTATTGCGCTGCACCTGGTGAGTTAGTTAGAATCAATGCTCCCCCGCCCACCGCCCTTTATTTTTTGCTCTATTTTCCATAGCCATAGCAGTATCTACTTTTCGCGATGGTGTTTGTGGTACTTTTCTTAAATAAAGTAGGTGCAAAATTGAAAATAAGAGGAATTCACATATGGCAATGCCAACGATTTGGTTCTTTAAAGACTTGTACCCTAGTCATTAAAAGTTGTACAATTGCAGATGGCATTATCCCATCCACATTTTCCTCTTCGAATCTAGGCAAAAGCTTTTAAAGCATGAGTACAAGCATTAAAAACATATAAATTCTACAACTAAAATCGATTCTAGGTGGATAATCATATTACATAACTTCTAAAAAAAAGAAGAAAAAAAATAGGAATTATTGGTAATTTATTGATGGGGAAAATACTAATCTAGCCAAATACACTAGTTACCTATCCAAAATTAGCCAAAAAAAACACATTAGCCAAAAACTAGCCCTCGAAATAGTAGATAGGTTAAGGTTGACTACGGTCAACTTTCGAAAACTACTCTTTCAGCGCAATTGATTACTCTTTCGTGGTACGTCTACTGTTTTGTGGCCCATTGGCCCATAGTATATAATGTCTTATTTTTCAGTTTAGGTTATTTTTTCCTCATTTTTTTTCCATTGTCTACTATTTTCTCTCAATGGAACACCCGAAGAACAACGAGGTACGTTCATTTTTAATCAAATTTTCACTGTATTGTTGATTAGGAGTAGTTTTTGTATATGGGGATAACTTTTTTTTTTTGAAAAAAACCGAAAAAAAAAAATTAAAACCGTAGGTTTCGTAAGGATTAGTACTTCCTAAAGAAAAGGGAAAATGGCCAACATGGCCTTTGACAACGTCCTACGTGAATAAAACTGAAATAAACACAAAATGGAAATAAACATAAATGGTCCTCAAGCTTTCTGGATTACACCAACATGTAACTAGTAATAAAATTCTCTTTCCTAAGCTTTTAGGCTACATTATCAACCATCAACCAACCAATTCATCATTCATAAATTCTATGAGGTGGAATTCTTATATAGTTTGTACGCACAAACTTCTATGTAGTCAATAAAAGTTTCTTGTACAAATTGAGGGAGTTTTAAACTAAAACTTAATCTTAATTAAAAGATATTAGTGATTCCAAGGCAAAGAGGGACGATGATGACTAGGATCCTCATTGAAGGCAATTAGTTTTCGTTTGTAACATGAATAGCTAGCAATAGCATCCACAAGTTGTGAAAGAGAAATAGATGTAAACTATTTCAACATTGACACAACAGAAATGCTTTATTGCAACATGAGGTACCCAATGGAAATGGGGAACTATGTGAACCTACCGAAAACAAGAGAGCTTTTTACAAGAATAATGAAACCCAAAAAACGCTCGTGAGTGAGGTTTATTAGTTTGGGGTTTACTGCAATTTTGATGAATTTTAAATAAACCCCAATGATGGTACATGTATGTATGGGTCCACACCCATATATCCCATAGTTAGAATCGTCAAGGGATCTGTTGCCCACCCCTAGCCCCCTCAAAGGGGAACGCACACTACCACTCTAGATCTCGTGCTTCTCCCCGAGAAGGACTCACTTAGTTATGTTCTCTCTCTCTCTCTCTCCTTTGTGTGTGTATGTGTGTGTGTGTGTGTGGGGGGGGGGGGGGGCGGGGGGAGTATGACTAGCGTCCTCGGGTAACTAACCTAGTGCTACTTTTTATAACTTAATTAGACAAGAAGACAATTAGATAATATTGCTAGTCGACCTCTGTCCGCACCCCTAACCCCCTCGAGGGGGAACACTTCCCTCACTGATATTGCCTCTCGGCTTGCGCTGCACTTGTTTTACCCTCCAGACAATGAGTTAGTTAGAATCAATGCTCCCCCGCCCACCGCCCCTTTATTTTTTGCTCTATTTTCCATAGCTATAGTCGTATCTACTTTTTGCGATGGTGTTTGTGGTAATTTTCTTAATAAAGTACAAAATAAGAGGAATTCACATATGGCAATGCCAACTATGATTTGGTTCTTTAAAGACTTGTACCTGGGGGGTGTTTGGGATTACTTTTTAAGCCTAAAAGTTCTTTTTATAAAAGTTCTTTTTGTAAAAGTTCTTTTGAGGAAACAAAAGCCAAAAGTTGTTTTTAAAAAGTGTTTGAGTAGTATTTTTTGACTTTTGAGTGTGATTTAGCTTTAAAAGTCCAAAAATTTCAAAAAATCACATTTTCTTGACTTTTGAAAACCCACTCTTTTCTTCTTTACAAAAAGTTATTTTGAAAAGAACTTTTGCATCTTCCAAACATCTTTATAACTTTTTAGAAAAGTTAAAAGGCAAAAATCATTTAAAAAGTATTCCCAAACACCCTCCTAGTCATTAAGGTAGTGTTTGTTTTTTCTTTGCAGATCTGTGTGACCTCTTCTGTCTGCGCCGCGCAGACCACGCGCAGACATTAGCCTTCGCAGACTGTTTGTTTTTTTGAAGACTGCAGACCTAAAAATGTCTGCGCGCCCTCTTCTTGGCGCAGATGTGGATCAGAGTCTTCTAACATCTTCAGACATCTTCTAGCCTAAAAAAAACATATATATCTTTATTTTCTTAAGTTTTTTTTAATTTATATTTTTTCCAACTTTATTAATGATAAACAATTTGAAAAAAAAATTACAAAACTTTAAAAAAAACGTTCGACGATACAAACATGATATTTTTGAGAAATTTATAAATAAAGATTTATTACAATAATAGTCGTTGAAGTTGTTTATATAAATATGAAAAAAAAAATCATAATATATTCTTATATTTTTTTGCCAAATTTTGTAAAACATTATTTAATACAGTATCGTCAATTTCTCGAGAAAATATTTATGGTACGTTTTTAATGGATTTAATTGAAAAAATCAAAGTTTATTTCCATCCATTTATGTATCAAATTCTTTGATCACTAATTATAATGCTTAGTTATAACTTTGCAACCAAAGTTGTTGGTTTTTATCAAATATATACGTTAATTCATATCATTTTTATTTTTATTTTTTATACAATAATACATAAAAGTTGATCTAGGTTCGTTAATTATTTATAACAAAGTCATAAAAATATTAAAAAATCACTTTGAAGTTTAAAAAAATCAGTTTATTTAGATTTCAGTTTATTTTAGTAGCCCGCAGATGTTAAAAAAACAAACAGTCTTCTTTTTTCAGACTGCAGACGTTTGGTCCACCTTTTCTACTGCAGAAGTCTACAGATGTGGTTCGCAGACTGCAGACATTTTGCCTCAAAAAAAACAAACACCACCTAAAAGTTGTACAATTGCAGACGGCATTATCCCATCCGCATTTTCCTCTTGGAATCTAGCGATTGCAAAAGCTTTTAAAGCATAGAGTACAAGCATTAAAAACATATAACTTCTACAACTAAAATCGATTCTAAGTGGATAATCATATTTAAACTTCTAAAAAAAATGGGAATTATTGGTAATTCATTGATTTGCATGAAGCAAATCTTTCCTCAGCCATTAGATAGAAATCGTAGCCCACGTGAAAATAAAAAATAATGCCGAATTTTTTAAGAGTTTATATACATTGGGCTTATGGGTTCGGGCCCATGACAAAATCGCAATCCACTAACCTGAAATCAGAGTTTTTTTAGTGAAAGTGAAATTTGACAACCACAATTTCAAGAGTTTGCCAACTGCGGTTTTGATGGCTTTTGGGATCATTTCGTCTTATTATTATTATTATTATTTTGTTTTTTACTGTTTTTAGAAACAAATGATATAGTTTAGGTTATTTTGTCTTTTTTTGTTTTTTCTCTTGCTTCGTTTGATTGGTTATCTCCAAAAAAAAGTAAGAAAAAGAACTACGCGTCGTTTGGTTTGCAAAACTGTTTTTTTGAAAGTAACGAAGTTGTTTACGAAATAGTTGTTACATGTTACATGTTTGTTTGATTGAAAATGAAATAAAACTGAATATTTTTCACAATTTACTTTATTATTAAACTTTTATTTTTATTTAATGGAATATATAGAAAAAATTTAAAAAAAAAAACCACCAGCAACTAAATACCACTTTTATATACTTGAATTTATTTGTTATTGCAACTTCGTACTCTCTTCCTCACATCTATTCAACGACCCAATAGCACTCCTAAATTGTGTCAAAATCTCCGTAAACGTCACAATCCCAATCAACCCATAATCCTCTCTAACAACCCAAGTATAGCTAACACGATGAGCAATCATCTGCACAATAACAGCCATCAACGTGTTCCATGGATTACAAACAATCGCCTCCGATCGTCTCCCGGGGTAACTCCGCCCCATGCCGCCGTTCCTCCCACCACCAAATTCCTCATCAGAACTTGAAGACGATGAAAACGAAGGATCATAATAGTTCTCGACCATATCCAACATGGCAGTCAAGTTTCTCTCCTGTAACCTCAGCTTGACCAAGTGGACCAAATCCTCCGGTGGACCACTGTAGTCGATATACGCCATGAGGTCTCCGGCGGAGAGGGCGGAGATGGCGGCGGCGATGGTTTCGTCGCAGCAGGAGAGGGCGAAGGGGGATATTTCGCCTATTAGTGTCTTGTCTTGGTTGATTACTGCTATGGAGGTTTGGTTTAAATGTGAGCGATTGATTAAGGGCAGTGTAGAGATGGCAGGGTCGTCGTAGTGGACAGTTAGGGTTTCGGTGTTGATTATGTTGAGTGATTCGATTGTGAATGTGGAAATTGGGGAGAAGACACCAATGGAGTTTAAGATGAAGCGAATCACGTCTTCTCTAGTTAGCCAGCAGAATTCGTTGCCATTGTGATTTATGGTGCTCTGAGAGGACTTGTTAAGATAATTTTTCCTTTGATTTGTTCTTGTGGTTGCTTGTATTGGTATGATCAAATTTTGTGCCCCTTCGAGTATGCAATCTATTGCCTCTAACAAGCTGAATAGGAAATAAATCAAAAACAACCAAATTCCATTTTTGAATATATTTCACATATATCATACGAATTTTATCAATTAAAATGACTCGAATCCGGAATATAGCGAATCAAATAATTTGAAAAGAACAAACCTCGAATTCGATTCCAGATGCCTAATCTGTCCTTTCACCTTCGGAAGCAGATCCAAAACACTCGTCTGAAGAGCTTCAACAGGACGTGAAAGGTTCTCTTCTTTACAAAGATAGAGAATCACATCAACCATACAGAGCTTTCCAATACACCGACATGGAGCTACGTCGTTAACAGCCACTACAGAATCAGAATGATTACAGCTCCATATACCTACATTGATATCGCCGGACCTCTTAAGTGCAAAGATCGCGTCGGAGACGGTTGCGGTGGCCGGTAACGAACTAAGCGGCGGCTTTCCAACGCACAAATCCGAGACTTCTGAAGCAAGAAAGCGATGTGCCATACAAATGGATCGGAGTCTAGAGAGAGGAAGAGAGAGTTCTAGAAGCGATAGGATACGGTAGGTGGGGTAAGAAGCAAGATGCAGTTTATCGATTTCCGTCACCCGTTGGAAATGAAATGAAACGTTTGGCATTTATAGGTACACCGTACAGGTAGAGGGAGAATCCATGATGTTGAGAGTATTTATAATAACGGTCCTTGTTGTTTTTAATTATCTATTTTTAACCTCGTGTTTTTATACTCTAGTTCTAATATGTTTCAAAGTATATAAAAATTTTAGTATTAAAAAACATCTTGGATGTTGTATACTTGGACTGTTGGACATTTATTTGGATGGTAAAAACCAGTCTTACAAGTGAATTTAAGTAAAATTTTACATTCAGTTGTTTTATATTTATTGTTTTGTAATTGTTTTTAGAACAAACAATCATTATATTTCGACATTTAGTTGCTTTATATTTTTTGTTTTGTAATTTTTTTTTAGAAAATAATTATTTTTGAAGTAATACTTTCTTGATATAGTATATTCAAATTCTATAGTTTGAATATGTATTTTTTTTTTTTGTGATTTAACTTAGATCCATTGTAAATATGAAATAACTACATCACCAACAATTGATATATATTATAAAGAAGAATAACCTAATAATGTTTTCAAAACACGAACTTGATATAAGTGAGTTACATGTGATAATAATGTAAATTGCTTTTTCATATTTCATGTTTTAATAATAAAATTAGTTTGAAATGACGATACCAAGAATGAGGACCTAGTTTGGATATGAAATAACAATAAGGGGAGAACATGCATATTTTCGAAAATTGGGTGGCCATTTTAATTGACCTGAGAGAACTTTTGTCAAACAAGCACATCGATTTGAATTTTGAAGCTGAGGTTTGTTGATATAGAATTAAATATTTATCGGGATGGGTACTTGACCCGATTTAGTGTTATGACGTTATTATTTCATTTTATATTATTTACATAGTTTTAATTCTTCTAACTAACCTAACGCGTTTGTATGGGTGAATAGTCGATTATAAGTATACGATAGAAATTTGACGGTAGCATGTTTATTGTTTAGCATATTTATAATTTTAAATTATTTATTTTGATAGAAGTATATTAATGATAAATTTATATTTAAAATAGTGGTGCATCCAAAACAAATGGTAGGGATAACACACACATAAATTTTAAGGGTTGCATAACACAAAAATTACACTATATCAAAAATTTTCTCAAAAACTTTTCTCTACGCCTAAAAATTTGAGGGATAGCATCGTGCTACCCCCCATGCTCCTTAGTAGATCCGTCCCTGATTTTTTTTTAGAACAGCAGAGATTTTATTAAAAAAACTAGCAAGGAGCTAGAAAGAAAAAGACATCACAACAAATTACAAGCTAAGAGAGGATTATGGAGCCAAAATGTCCAACTAATTTTAGCTTTTCTACACCTATTGGAGATCCAAAAAAAAGATCTGTCAATCACTTCATCAAGAATAAGAGATTTCCTGGGATGAGTCGTTCCAAAAATTGTGGAGTTACAAAAATTCCATAAACACCACAAGGTAGTCAAGATGACAGTATCAAAGGCTTGTCGTTGCCCTCGTCTTAAAGAAAGAGAATCAGACCACGAGTGGAGTTGGTCAATAGAGAAAAAGTGAGGAGTTCGGACGCCCCACCAGATAGCAACACGAGTCCATATCTCAATCAACTGATTACAATGGAGGAAAAGGTGATCAATGGATTCAACGGTATTGGAGCAGACGGGACAAAGAATCGAATCCATAGTAATCCCACGGAGAGAAAGGTTCTCTTTAGTAGGAATGCTTCGTAACTACAATCTCCAAATAAAGATATTCACCTTGATTGGCACCCAATTATTCCATAGAGTTTCAGGACCCCCCGTATGTAACATGTGATTGTCCAAAAAAGTTCTGAGAGAAGAAACAGTGTAGGAATCGGAGCCATCAATGGTCCACCCCAAACGATCTGGAACAGAATGAAGAAGAAACCCCTACATTAAGGTAGTGAAATCAGTCCATTGAGTCTCCTCAATACCCCCTCTAGGAGTCCGCCTAAGACAATCAGAGTTCCATCCAAGAAGCACTCTATCTCTAACTGATATAGTTTTATTAGGATCAAGAGCATAAATCCTATGAAAAGAATCAGCCAGGGGGGGAATCCCCCTTCCACATGTCATGCCAGAAAGAAGTCATATTTCCATCACCAATCCTAATAGGGCTAAAAGGCCTGAGATCAAGATCACGATTATTAAGTTGCACCAGCATACGAATAACACCATTCCAAGGACCAATTGAGCCTCTTCTCTGAGAAAGAGAACTGCAACCACCATCCGGACCATAAAGAGCTTTGACAATTGTAACCCATATTAGATTCGGATTATGAAAAAATCTCCAACGCCATTTATAAAGCAAGGCGCTATTGAACGAGAAAAGACTGCCAACACCAAGACCCCCTTCCTTTTTTTGAGCTAAAATATGATTCCAACGAACCTAATGCATGTATCTCTCATCAAGATCAGCACCCCATAAAAACCTGGCTCGAAGAGACTCCAAGGTATTAACAACAGGGATTAGAACCATGAAGATAGACATCAGATAACTACTGAGGCTTCCAAGAACCGATTTGATCAAAGAGAGACGACCTCCAGACGATAAACATTTCGCTTTCCAACCCGAGAGTTTTGAGCGAAAACGGTCAACAACTGGGGACCAAGCAGAAATCTGAGACATATTATGACCAACAGGGACTCCAAGGTGAATAAAAGGACAAGTATCAGGAGTACACCCGACCATACGAGGCGCCACCTCAACCTGATCAAAAGGAACTCCCACTCCGATCAATTTACTTTTTTGTAAATTGATTTTAAGACCCGAAGCTAAATAAAAGCATCTCAAGATACGAATGATACGAGAAACATTATCTGGGTCCCAAGTAGACATCAGGACAGCATCATCAGCATAAAACAAGTGTGAGATATCGATCCCACTGATAGAAATACCTCGAAACACGCTAGCATTATGAGCTTTCCGTAAAGCAACATGAAGGCCTTCCATAACCAGGATGAATAAAAAAAGGTGACAGGGGGTCTCCTTGTCGTAGACCTCTTTGGATTTGAAATTCATCAGTAGGGGACCCATTAACAAGAACAGAAGCCCTAGCAGACCGGAGAAGATCCATGATCCAGGCACACCACAACTTACCAAAGCCCATAATCTGCATTATTTCCAAAAGGTAATCCCACGAGACCGAGTCAAAAGCCTTCTCAAAAGAGTATTATTCATAGACTTGCTCCAAGCAACCGCCTCATTGAGAAGAAAAGGGTCATCTAAGATTTATCTGCCTTTGACAAAAGCAGACTGCTCCAGACTAATAACAGAACCAATAACCTCCGCCAACCTATTAGCTAAAAGTTTACCAATAATTTTGTATTGGCACCCTATTAGACTAATAGGTCTAAAGTCTCTAATATTCTTAGGATCACGAACTTTTGGAATAATTGTAAAGAAAGAGGCGTTACATCCTTTAGGAACCGAACAATGACTATGAAAATGCTGAATAAAAGCCACCAAATCATCAGAGATAAGATCCCAAAATCTTTTCAAGAATCCAAAAGAGAAACCATCCGCCCCAGGAGCCCGATCTGAGCCACAATCCCAAACAGCCCTTTTAATGTCATCACGAGAGAAAGGAGTTTGAAGAAAAAGAACTTGATCTTCCGTGAGAGTATGAAACAAATTAGGATCAGTAGAAGGGCGTCTTCCTTTCTTCCTCGAGAGAAGAATTTTATAATAGTTATGGAATTCCGTTTTAACTTTATCAGGATCATCCTCCCAAAGACCATCAATCATGATACCTCTAATAGCAAGATGTCGCCTCCTCCGATTAATAACGCCATGAAAAAAACTAGAGTCTCATCCCCTTCTATGGCCCACTGAATCTTCGCTTTCTGCGCCAACTCGACTCTAGAAAGATGATCCAAGTCATTCAATTCTTTAATAGGCAAAACTCTTTGTTCACGAAGATCAGCACTACCCCCATCAAGCATAAGAGAAGCATCAATCCTTTCAACTTTATCTTGAAGAGTTTTCCTTTTACTAATCAAACGATCACGAACACTAGAATTCCATAATCTTAGATTAGATTTAAGAAATTGGAGCTTCTTCTTAATAATAACCCAAGGATTATCATTCAAATTCCCAACAACATTGGAGGTCCAAGAATTATGGACCACTTCATCAAAACTGTCCTGCTCAAACCAAGAATGAAAAATACGAAAAGGAGATGGACCATAATCCACCCGATGCTCTAATAGAACAATATGACGATGATCAGGGATATTTTTATCCAGAACCAATCCCATAATGTGAGGAAAACGCAACATAATACCTTCAGAGACCAAAAAACGATCAAGTTTAGAGAATTTAGATCCCCATTTATCGCTCCATGTATAACGAGGCCCACCCATAAGAATATCAACTAAATCATTCTGCTCGATAAACTGATTAAAAATTCTTGTTGGGATATGGTGGAATTGAGAACCAAACCTCTCAGACTCATATCTTACTTCATTAAAATCTCCCATAACCACACATTCTCCAGAGAATGAAGAGATCAAGGTAGAGATTTTGTCCCAAAGTTTTCTTTTACAATCAACACTTTGGGGAGCATAAACGGAAATTAGTAACACATCCATTCTAGAAACAACCCAAATTCCCTCCACCGCCACATACCAATCGGAGATAATAACTTTATTATGAATAAAGATATTTGAGTCCCAGATAACCAAAATGCCACCCGAGGCACCGCGAGAAGGGGAGAAAGAGTGTGAGAATGCAAGGTTACCCCAGAAAGATCGAGCAAGAGAGAGGTCAATTGACTCTTTTTTTGTTTCTTGAATAGCCAAAAAATTGACTTTAAACTTGACACAAAGAGATTTAATCCACACCCGTTTCTCAACAGAACCCGCTCCTTGAATGTTAATAGAAAGACAATTCATATCTAAATGATTTTTCTAAATCGCTCCTCTTGAATGGTGTTTTTAACATGTTCCGAACAACTATTCATATTAAGACCAATATTTTCTCCCACTGTGATTGTTTTTTT